GATGGACGGGCAGACGTACAGACGTGAGGTGGGGGTGCCGTCCAGGGTGCTGATGGTTGAATGGATGGATGGACAGACATACAGATGTGAGGCGGGGAACCATCTGGAGCAGGCTCAGATCATGATGCTGGCACTGATGATGGACGGATGGATGTGGGCTGGGGGGACAGTCCACAGCAGGCTCAGACACTGATGCTGGCGCTGATGATGGCTGGAGGGACGTAGGCACTGGGAATGTGCTTTTTTGTTCTTGCTTTCAGGACTTGGCAGGGTCCAGAGATGCCGCTGTACGTGAAATACGTGTCACCCGTCACTGAGTCAGTCAATAGCCCTGTGGCCAGGGGGACAGAGAGCTTGCCCTGGCGTCACAAAGGCCTGCTTCTGACCCGGCCTGGCTGTGTGAGCCTGGGCCGCCCTTAGGCCACTCTCTCAGGTAAGAAATTATGTCGTGGTGGGTAGAGGGCCCACACTGGAAGCTCCTCATAGTAATGAAATCAATCAATCAGTCAGCATTCACTAAGTACCTACTATGTGCAGGCACTGTGCTAGGTGTGGGCTACCAGGGGATGGCCCCGTCCGCTATGGGCAGGGCAAGATCTCCAAGGCCCCGCGGCAGGCATGATGAGCCCGCCCCCCTCTGGGAGCCCCTGCCCCTTTCCCCCGCCCGGGCCAGACCCCTCTGACGGGGAACATCTGGCAGCAATTCGCCCTCCCCGGCCAAGAGAACAAACAAGGCATTCTTGAGACATCAAAGAAAACACTTACGCCAACGCCACCGCAAGGGAGCCTGACGAACATGGACGTTAAGGAACCTGCGGGGAAGCAAGAGGGACAAGTGAGCAGCGGGTAGAGGGCCCCACCCCTTCCCCCCCAACTTGGGCCCGCAGGTCAGTCTGGGGGAGGGGCTCTAGGACCCCGCATCGGGGCGGCATTCCTGGACAGGGATGGTCACGTTCTGCCAGTGGGCAAAGTCATTTGTCCATCTGCAGCCACGTCCTTCCGCCATCTTCCTTTCTGACGGACCTATCCCGGGGCCACTGCGTCTCAGTGCTGAAGGAGACCTCGCAGGCGTCTGGTCTGACCAGACCCCGACCACCCACGGTGGGTCCTGCCCTGCAAGCCTACTGCCTCTGAGCTCACTAATTCAAGGGCCCATGGGTGAAGCCTTCTGGGGGGCAGGAGTGACAGCCCCCGCAGGAAGGCCCATCCGTCTGGATGCTCTAACCGCCCAGACAAGGAGTGACCAGAAATGGGAAAAAGGCGGCTTTTTTCTGCAATGAATATGGATGTGAAAATCAAGGTCTCCGGGCCCAGCCATAGAGTCGTGCTGAGGAGGGGAGGGCCCAGGTAGAGGGCCGAGGCCCCACGGGGCTTGCTTCTGACCCTGGCTTTGGCCGGCCTCCCCGACCCGCAGGACCAACTGCTCCCAGCCTGGTGGCACCAAACACACTCAGGGAAGGAAGCGCCAGCCATCTGGACCCAGCCAAAGGGCAGGACGGCCCTGGGACATCCAGCTCACTCACAAACTTGTGGGAAAGACTTTCCTGGTCAGTCAGTGAGCATTTGTGAAGTCCTTCCTGTGGGCCAGGCCTGTCTCCAGGAGGCAGGGGAACCTTCCTGGAATGCCTAGAACCCCTGGGCACCTAGAACCCCAGGTCACTGGTCCCCCACATTTAATGCCTGCCACATGCAAACTGAAAACAAGCCAAAGGACGAGGGGGCACAGGGCTGGGGGCGAGGCAGAGGAAGAAGAAAACCCGTCACTATTCTCACTGCCTGCCTTCATGCCATGTGTTAAGTCTACCAGGGGCTTCCCAAACACAACCTCATCTGATCCTCACAACAACCCAGGGATGGGGAAGACTAGCTATTATTATCCCCATTTTGCATATGAGGAAACAGGGGCTGAGAAGGGAAGGAAGTCACCCACGGCCCAACAGCTAGGAAGTGTCTGTGTCAGGATTTGAACTCAGATCTTTCCAACTCTGAGCCCAGGGCCCTGTGCCTGATGGCGCCCCTCGCCACCAACCTAGCGCTGTGTGTGAAGTGTGAGGGAGGCGGGATACAGCTCCTGGACCCTTGGGTACCTCCAGAACACCAGGGCCAAAGGCTGCAGTCCCCCTTGCTCCAGGGCAGAGCCCCCCAGGGCTCTTCTGTGGGACCCAGGCTGGCAGGTGGAGGGAGGGCGCTGGCCGAATCTATCAGCGGGAACTGGGGTGCCTGGGACACAGCAGCCTCTAGGGTCCTTTGCTGTCTTGGTCACTGTCCTCTGGATTTGGCCGTGGGCTCGGCCACGGGCCTGCTCCAGGGGCAGTGGGGGACGATGGAAATTGCCTGGGTTAAACTGAGCTTTGCTTGGTAACCCTGGGCCACTGTTAAGTCTTCCTCTGGGTCTCTGACTCCCCCTCTAAAATGAGGGGCTTGGTGACCCTCCTGGCCTAGGGCTGGGCTCCTCGAACCCTGGTCTGTGGCAGGGGCAGGACCACAGGCTCCCCTGACTTCCAGGTCCTCTTGCGCCTGGCACAGTACCTGGTACACAGTAGGTGTTTAATAGGTGCTTATTAACCCACTGACCAAGGCAGGGGGCTATGCTGTCCCGCCTCTCAGTTACAGGATCAGATCATCATTATTAACAGCCTAGAGGCAGCAAGAATGGCACGGGTCTCCCATCCAGCAAGCACTGGGTCTCCTTCCTGTCTGACACCTCCTGACAGCGTGATCCTGGGTTGTCCCTCCTGAGTGCCCCTGGCCACCCCCTCAGGCTCCCAGCAGCAGAGCAGGTCCCAGCTGGGGGAGGGCAGCTCCGGCTCCTCATTGGGCAGGGCCTGGGGCATCAAGCAATTCAATACATCCAAGGCCTGACACATTTCAGCATTCTCTTATCAT